GCCGGCCGCCGCCCCCCGCCCGCAGCAGCGGAATGAGGAGCCCAGTGCGCGAGGTTCCCGAGGCGGCGGAACCCGCCGTAGCGACCCCGCCTCGGCCGGGGGGCGGGGGAGGGAGGAGGAAGAACGACGAACCGGAAGTTGCTGCCGCCGGACAGCAATAGTGGACGGACGCGCTCGCCCCGCTTCCTTTTCTCTTAGCAACCGCGGCCTGGTTCGTTGCTAAGGGAGGCTTCCCGGGGGGGCGGGGGCCGTGGACTCCTTCGGAAGCTGTGAGCCCGCTTGTTTGCTCAGGCTTCATTCAGAAACGCAGACGCCCCGCCTTCGGGACAGAGCTCGGTCGTGTTTCGTGTGGAAAAGCTGTTATTAAACTGAGAATTAAAAAAAAAAAAGGTTCCATCTTTGATACAGAAAAAAAAAAAATGTGGGCTGGCGAGATGGCCAAAGGCACCTGCCGCCAAATCTCACCACCCGAGTTCAGTCCCCGGGACCACACGGTAAAAGGGAACCGAAGTTGTCCTGGCTTCCCTGTGTGGGCGGTGGTGCACACACGACGCGCACACACACACACACGCTCACATACACACACACACGCTCACATACACACGCACGCTCACACACACACGCACGCTCACATACACACACACACGCTCACACACACACACACACACACGCTCACACACACGCATGCTCACATACACACGCATGCTCACACACACACACGCTCACATACACACACGCTCACACACACACTCACGCTCACACACACGACGCACACACGCACGCTCACATACACACATGCTCACACACACGCATGCTCACATACACACGCTCACACACACGCACGCACGCTCACACACACATGCAAATGCTCACATACACACGCACGCTCACATACACACGACACGCTCACATACACACGCATGCTCACACACACACACGCAAATGCACGTACACATTGTTGTCAGAAAACAACTTGAGGGACTTGGTTCTCTCCTTCCGACCCGTGGGCTGAAACCCAGGTTGTCAGGTTTGGCAGCAGGCACTCTCACCCACTGGACCAGCTGCCAGCCCAGCTTCTACGGGCACTAGCTCCGTGATAGGAGGAGCATGCCGACATTTTCTATATAGCTTTTATATTTCCCCCCGTCAGGAACCACACCTACTAAGCAGTGATTTCCTTTCTCTCCACAGCATCTACTTTATATTTTGTCCGTATGGGTGTGTCATTTCTACATGCTGTGTGAATTCAATTATCTGGCCTTTTATGCCTGGCTTTTTTCAATTAGCATAATGTTTTCAAGGTGCATCCGCAGTGTAGTTCCTATCAGACTTCATTCTTTGTCAGTGAACACACATTTGGTGATCTGGAAACCCTGATCGTCCTGCCTCCACCTCCTGAATGCTGCTGGTCTTGCAGGGCCACCATGGCCACTTTTGTGCACTGTTGGGAATTGAACACGGGCCTTCATGCATGCTAGTTGAACACTCTTCCAACTGAGCTACACCCCAGGTCCCCCTTCTTGGCTTCAGTGAATAGTGTTGCTTTTAAATATTGATGCACAGGTATCTGCTGGAGTTCTTGCTTTTGCTTACATTGAGGATAGAGATGAGAGTCCAGTGGGGGTCTCTTCTAGTTACACTTCTTTCGCAATGATAAACTATCCCGACAAAAAGCAAACAGGGAAACAAAGGGTTTCTTCTAGCTCCCGGTTCCAGGTTCCAGGCTATTGTTGGTTAAGCCACAGTGGTGGGAACTTGAGGTAGTGAGTCTCCTCACATCAATAGCCAAGAGCAGAATGATGGCCAGGCAGGGGTGGCGCACGCCTTTAATCCCAGCCCTCAGGAGGCAGAGGCAGGTGGATCTCTGGATTTGAGGCCAGCCTGGTCTACAGAGTGAGTCCTAGATGAGCCAGGACTACACAGAGAAACCCTGCCTCTCAAAACCAAAAGAATAATAATAAAAATAAAATTAAAATAAAGACACGTAGGGCACACTAATGTAGACAGCTGCTGTTGAGACTCACTTCCCAGGTGACTCTAGGTTGTGTCCAGGTGATAAAGCTAATTATCCTGGGGTCACATGTCAACTCAAGAGCATTTGAACCTGTCATTGAGAAGATGCTACAGACAAGCGTTTGCATTGCGTGTCATTATATGCTGTCACACACACACAGTCATATATTTAACTTTTGGAGGAGGGTCTTAATGTGTAGACAAAGACAACCTTGGATTCCTGATCTTCATAAATACTGGGATTACAGGCTTGCACTACCGTACCCAGTTTTATTCAGTGCTGGGGTTGGAACCCAGAACTCCATGCATTCTAGGCAAGCCTCTACCAGCAGAGCTGCACCTCCAGCCCTGCACGGGATACCTTTAGGATAGTGTCTATCTCGTGGACCACTCAGCTGAGGCTGGGACTCAGGTTACCCAAATGCGGTATAGCACCAAGGTGGGGTCGACGTCATAAATGAGTATGGGTGGGACAAACCGCAACTAACAGGTAACCAATGAGGAAAAAGCAGCCGAGAGAGGGTAGGGAGATGACTCAGTGGGTTACGTACTTGTTGCGCAACCATAAAGACCACAGTTTGGATCCCCAGAACCCACATAAAGTGCCAGGTGGGAGGGGAGGTGTCCCAGAAGTAAGTCCTGACATACAGGAGGTGGATGCAGGGTGTCCCAAGAACAGACTAGACAGACTGACTGAAATGGCTAGCTCTGGAATCAAGTAAAAGACCTCGGAGACAACGTTCAAGGGAGACACTGGATGTCAACTGTGTGCCTCCAAACCTGTGCACACACACAAGTGCATGCACCTGCACACACACATGTGCAACCCCACAGATGTGAACGCAAGCATACACACACACCACAAACACACACACACACACACACACGGAAGGAGAAGTGGTTATGAGTGAGTTCACATAGACAGCTGCAGGCTGTTAGGCACAAATATT